CTATGCAGCTGATCACCCAACACATCAGACCCTTCCCCTAGCTGCCTTAATAATAAGCTCACTAAATAAACTACTTCCTACATGAGACGAGTTTGGAGGTCCTCAAACCTGTGTGCCCACTGGAACCATCTAGGGACCTTTTGAATGAATGCCTCATCCAGAGCTAAACCTGAACCTCTAGTGGGGAAAGCCAGGCATCAGTATTTTTAAGATCATCAACTGCTTCCGGTTTTGAAAGTTAGCTGTTTAAAGCAGGGTTTCTCAGGCTAGAACATACAAGCAAATCACTCAGGATTTTTGGTAAATTGCAGGTTCTAGATTTAGTAGCACTAGGATGGGGGCCCAACCCAGCATTCTTAGCATTCTGTGTCCTTGGGTAAACAGGGTACACTTTCAGGATAGGTTAGAGGGATAACTGCGGTAGACCTCATGGTGGGGTATCCAGATAACACTGTGGCTCACTGCTCCAGAGGTGCTGCGTGCACATGACAAATGCAATTAATTAAGTAGGTTTCTGTGGGGGCTAAAATAGAAAAACAGCAGAGAGGGAAACTACGAAACAGAGCTAAGGCCATGAGGGGGGCATAGAGTGAAGTTGTCTCAGTTACTCTTCTTTCGTTGCTGAGACAAATACCTGACACTCACAATGAAAGAAGGAAAGGTTTATTTAGTTCACAATTCCTGGAGGGTTCAGTACATACTCGGCTGGCTCCAACGCAGACTGGCACATGGCAGAGAGCAACCTTTCATGGCAGTGGCAGAGAGCAAGCGCAAAATGAGGAATAGCGGCAACAATGGCTACAGAGAGGAAGTCTATGTCTCTTAAATTGCATTCAGGCTATCTGTCCCAGGCTGGGTGTAGCACTCGCCCCCATAATTCCAGCAGTGCTCACACCCATAATCCCAGTGGATCATGAGTTAATCATAAACTCTAGAAGTCTGCTCCATGACGGCATGAGGCTTTGGAGGGACAACTAGACACAAAACATAACAGAAGTGATAGAAATAGAAACCACAAATAATATAGGCTTGAGTTCACACTTTCAGAAGCAAGGTAAGAACAGGCAACTGTGATAGAAGGACCAGTGAGACCGAAGAGAAACACAGACACGAGTAAGGCACAGTCCTGGGTGACAGTCTCAGGCACCAGCCCCAAGCTCCCACCATACCAGCTATCTTGGAAGTGATAGATTTTACAGTACAGCCCCTTTCTCTTCAGGTAGTACAAGTG